GCTCAGCTTCCACCAAGCGATCGTGGGGTAAGCTCAGCTTCAGCTGGAAAAGTGGGGCACCACGGCTACGTGGACTTGCCTTCTCTCTCTCCCTCTCTCTCTCTAGTCTAGCCCAGCCACCTTCTACCTGGCCGCCCCCTGTGGGGGGGTGGCTCAGACCACCAGAGGCAGAGCGCCCTCCCAACGAGGCGTTCCAAGGGGAGCTAGTAGCCTACCAATCCTCTACCCTTCCCAAAGGTCTCCACCTGTTTTCAGGGGCCTGAGAAAGGAAGCCAGGGGAGAGTACTCGACAGTACAGATCCCCGGATACAAATGCGTCCCCAACAGGGTCCGGGACAAAACTCCGCCCTTCTCCAAATGTAGAGGTCGTTCTGGGACACAGACTCCCCTCCTCCCCAAAGGCCCTGCAGCAGCCATTCAGAGAGCCTGGCACAAAGCAAGTGCTCAATAAATATTTGTTGAATGAACGAGCGAATGAGGTCACCCCATTTCTCCCCCAGCTCTAAGCCCAGAAGTCCTCTGAGGAAGCACATTTCGACCTCCCTCCTCAAACGCCATCATCAGCGATATATATTTATTCAGCATGCACAGCACGCTGGGTGCTGCCGGTTGGGGGCAGGGTGGCCATCAGCGGTGACACGGCCTTTACCCACCTAAGCCTTCGGGAGATAAGGCTCAGGTAGGAGAAAAAGCTAACAGCAAGGACGGAGCTTGTGCTCTGGGTCACATCGTGAACTATGTACCACAGGGCAATCGTCGTGAAATGAGTCTAATTTGACTCTCTCCTACAGTAAATGGGAGGCCTCGGAAGCTGGTTAGCAGCCGCACCCAGGAGACTGACTGCCCCCCCTCCCAGGTCTCGGTCCTCTGGCCACAAGGTTCCCCCCAGTCCAAGTGCCTGTGCTTACCGTCTGGAGAGGGTTGGGAGGAACAGGTCTGACACCTGAATATTCTAGGCCTCCTGCTCAGTGGAGGCGGGGAGGTCTCCCCAGGGCCACCGCCTATAAGGAGAGCTCTAAAAAGAGGGAGGAATCACCATCTCCCACTTCCCAGGGCAACCCCACCTGAATGTCCTCTTCCAGCTAGGGCAAGTAGAACCCTGGAGAAGGCATCTTGCAGGATCCCTACCCGCCCCCCCAACCTCTGGCACACAGCACCAAAGGACTTTATAAGGGAGCTGGGTGTGGGGCTGGACCGAGTATCCCAGAAAGACAGGGAGGACACAGCCTACACCACATTCCCTTCCAGGCACTTTGGCAGGCACTGCAGTACACTGCCCCACCTCAAAGGAAATGACATCATTCATACCCATGTGACAGATGGTGAATACTGAGGCCTAAAGCCATTCATAAAGTTGGTGGGAGCAGACCTGGAACTAGGACCAAGTCTCCCAACGCCTGGCCAAGCAAACCCTCCACCAAATACTGCTTCTGCCTTATATAGGTGAAAGAGCCCACAGCCTCTTCCCAGTTCATGATTATGGAGAATGGGGGGGGCAGCACATGGAATGCAGAGGCCAAATGCAAGACGCAGAGGCCAAAATCCCTCCCATCGAGGAAAGGCAAGAACCCCGAACAGTTAGTTCTTCAGCTAGTGCCTCCAAGCTCAAGTCCTGCCTTCCAGAAGCTGGCATGGTCTTTGGGAAGATCAGCACCCCCACTGCTTGTGCCCACAATATGGCCCTCCTCTCCTCCTGCCCAGCCCAGAGAGACAACGAAACAGCAGCAGCCCCATATAGCTCCTTCCTCCAAGAGCAAGTTCAAATGTATTTCAGGACCTGGGAACCCTACCCCATTGCCCTGACTCAGAGGCTAAAGATCACTGAGGAAGCTCCAATCCCAAGGGGGAAGGAAGAGACAAAAAGTATCCAATGAACTATCCTTTCCCACACAAAACCCGGCTCCAGGTGTTCAATGAAGCAGGCCCCAGGGCTCTGCACCCCTCTTCCATCCCATGCCCCCCAACCCCTACCAGTTCAGACAGGTAGGAGGGGATATTTGGATGTGGAGTCAGCTTTGGGAGGTGGGTGAAAAGCATGACAAGGAAAGGAGACAAAACCACAGAGGCTTCTCCAGAGTGGGGAGAAGATGCAGAGGGGGAGGCATCGCATTAGGATCTTAGGAAGCTTAAAAGACCGGATCCTACCCGAAACTGCTGGAAACACCCAGTTCTACTGTTCACCCCCCTCCAAAAGTATAATAGCAACCAGATGAATAAGTCCAGCACGGATGGGGGGGGGGACGATGCGTAAGGGCCCCCAGGGGACCGTGAATTTCCAGAAGGCCACCTTCCCCTCTCCCTAACACCTCCCCCTTTTCTGGGCTTCCCCTGAACTCAGCCAACCCCACCCTTCATTGGGGAAACCTGCTTTGAAAAGTTAGCTCTTTGTTCTACAAGCCGGTCTCAGGCTCTGAGCACAATTTCAGGAGATCTCTGCAAAGCACCCCCCACCCACCCTACTCCAGCACCCGACCCCGCCCCGCTCTGGCAGGGCGGCCCAGCCCCGGGAGTTGGCTTCTAATTTAAGGTGGGGGCTGGGAAGCTATGGAGGAGGTCTGCTAGTCTATTAAGCTCGGAACCACCGAGGGGGGTACAGGTCGTCCAAAAAAAGGGGTCTCGCAGTAGGGCTTGGGTCCTTATCCGAAGCCCAGTTTACCAGATGCAACACTGGCCGGCTGATAGCTCCGGCCCCGGGTCTCCAGGCCATGAAGTCCGGCCATTTGCGGCCAGAGCTGCGGGTTTCGCTGGGCCCCCCAGTCTCTGCCCCGCCCCCCCCACCGCTCCCTCCCCCTCCCCCCAGCGCCCCGCGCTTCCGCCTACTTGGCGCTCAGCGCGGCGGGGAAAGGGAGCGGCCGTCTCCTCTCACTCTCCCGGCCCTAGGGGGCGGGACTGCACCCCTAACCTTCCCCCACCCCCCCAACCCCGGGGCCTGGCCTCCCTACTCCTCTTCCGTCCTCCCAGCCCCAGGGCACAGAGCCCACTATTCTCCAGCAGTGGCTGCCGCCACGCGTGGACTCCCTGCCGCGCCGTAGATCTCCCGGTTTCCAGACTGGGGTCTGTCCCCACACCCCATGACACCGCCCTCCGTTCCTCCTCCCGGGATGGCGGGGATGAGGCGGCACCGACCCGGCCCTTCTCTCCTCCCCTAATCCCGAGCATAGCTCGGGGATTGCAACGACGCGCCTCCGGATCCCGGGGCTCACCTTATCCAGACAGTTCACCTTCTCCGTGGGGTACACGATCTTGCCGCACCGGGCGCAGTTGGGATTCATGGCTCCGGGAAGGGCTGGGGCGGGGACGCCCGAGCTCGCGCGCGTTCTCTTTCCCCGGAGCGAGCTGGCGGGAGGCGGCCGCGGCTGCAACTACACAGGGAGCGGCGACGGCGGCTGGAGCTAGAGAACTGGCCTCCGCCTCCGCCCTCCTTCCCCTAATAAACACAGCGGGGAGGAGGGGCTGCACCGGGGCGGGGACGCGCCGCGGGCGCGGGCAAGGGCGCGCGCGGGCGGCGCGCTTCCCGGGCGACGTGGGGCTACGCGGGGGCGGATTCCGGGGAGGGCGGCGGGGCCGGAGGCGCGCGCCTAGGTGCGTCCCGAGGGTCCCCAGTACCCCGGCGCTCTCCGGCCGAAGGTGCCCACGAGCAGCGCGCCCGGAGGCCAGGGACCTCTTGGCGCTGGAGGCGGCGCGGAGCCGGTCTGGCCGCACATCTGGGGCGCCCGGGCTGCGGGAGGCGGGCCAACCCCTCGCACCCGTCGAGGGTGGGGCTGGAATCCTTCCGAACGCCGGATTGGATTCACCAGATTCGGGGACTTTCCTTTGTGCGGGTCGATACCTGGCTTGAACCTGCGGACGGAACGGGAAGCCCCTGCCCCGCCCCGCCCCTCAGTTAGCCTCCCTTCCCCCACATCCTTTCCCACATTTGTAGGGCGGAAGCCGTCCCTACAGCCTGGACGCGGCGCCTCGCAGCCCCGGCTAGTTCTTCCTTCCCCGCGCTCTGCCTTGCGGCTTTCCCGGGTTTTTCCGGGTCCGGACACCTTCTGGTCTCCGCTTGGCCCCCTTTCTTCATTCCTTTCCCCTTACTTTTACTCCCTACCCTCAGTGTAGCAGTGTTTTAGTACCCAAAGAGCCGTGTCCAAGAGCAGCAGTGGCGTGGGGGTATAGCTCAGTGGTAGAGCATTTGACTGCAGATCAAGAGGTCCCTGGTTCAAATCCGGGTGCCCCCTTCGTGGTTTTTCCTTCACTCTGACACGAGCATTTAATAAATTGGATTTACTATTGAACGTTGGATCCTAGGTCAAAAGAAAACCGAAAGTCGAAATTTTACAAATGCCTTCCTCATTTTTCAACCTTAGCAAAAAGCTTTTGATTTTGCTTTGTACCCAGCAAAAGGAGGAGGTGTGGGTGCGCGCACAAACCATGTTCAAAAGCTGCAGTTCCCTATTATCCGCGCCAGACTTGGGATTTCTGCGGCCACCGCCAGCAACCTCAAGGGTGTCAGGCAGTTCGAGGCGCCCGGGTCAGAGGACAAGATTACTCCCCCAACTTGGCTTTCCGTTTCCGATGGGGGAGGTGGATGGTCAAGAGAGGGAAACCCACAAACACAACCTTTCCCCAACTTCAACTTTCTTTTTTAAGTAAGGTGTCACGGACCTGCCGTGTTCACCCTTCCCTCTTGCTCATGACACAGGCAGAGTGAAAGCACTTCAAGAATGTTAAAATGGCGAATTCACACCCGTAGGCTCATTTTAATTTACAAAAATAAAGTTACATCCGGATGCAAACTGATATATACTAAGGCAATGACTCTCAAACTTGAGCGTGCACCAGAATTACCAGAGGAGCTTGTTGAGACACCCCCAGTTTCTGACTCGGTAAGCCTGGAGTGGAACTTCCAAGAATTTGCATTTGTAACCAGTTCCTGGGCGCTGCTGCTGCTGGTCAGGGGGCCACACTTAGAGAACCACTGAACTAGTAATAGAAGGCAATTGTGTTTCACAACCTAAAGGTGGGACAGATTATCTGTTGGCTTCCTGACAGTTAACATTGTTGGGCCACAGGGAAACAATGTGTGAAAGCAGCAAGGGCATCCCCCTCGACTAGACTTTGCCCAAAAAAAGGAAAAATAAAGGAGAAAGGGAGATACATGCTGCCTGGGTCAGGGGGCAGCTGTGATATTTTAAACCCGGAATCTGGTTGTGTCATCCTTTGGAGCCCTTGGGGAATACTTGAGTGCATTTTTCCCCATGGCTCTCATAACTGTGAGAGGCGTCAAAAGCCTGGGCATGGAGACTGAGCAGAACCACTGTCGGGGTGCAAAGCCCAATCCCAGGGAATAGCTAGCTTTTCACCCCTTTTCTGGACAGTAGGCCTCAGATTTGCCACCTGCACTTTTATCAGGCCAAAGCCCTCCCTTTGAGCTAACATAAAGAAGGAGAAAGCCATCTACTTTTGACCTATCTTCTCTTTGTGCTGGATCTTAAACTTCTCAACCATGTAGATAAATCTTCTGAACTTGGATTCTGTTCTAGTCTTCTCAGTCAGAGTATGAACTAAGCTAAATAATATTCCCTCTCTGCCCCTTCCCCACCAGGCACTCCATTGTTAACCTAAAAAGAAAACTATAATTAACATTAAACCAATAGATCTCAAACTGTCTCAGAGATGAAAAATGTTTGGTGCCTCCTTTTTTACCCACAAGTGGGCTTCTTGCCACTGAGTTGGGGTATACCGTAAGACTGGACAGAGCAATAATCACTGTTCAACCTCTGGGTGTTTTTCTTTGCTTCTCAGGTACAAGGAACAAGTACCTGCTGGGGGAAATCAGCCAAGTGGAAGAGACCAGGATTCCAAAGAGTTTCGGATTCAGGACCTACAGAAGTCTGGGTTATACCTGAACAACTGTGAAAAACAGTAAAGGTAGCTAAGGGGGCACCCGGATTTGAACCGGGGACCTCTTGATCTGCAGTCAAATGCTCTACCACTGAGCTATACCCCCTCTGCTGGCAGAAGCCTTGTAAATTCTCTTTACCACAATCCTAAATTTTTCATCCTGAAAATTATTTGTTGGAAGTTGGTTTCTTCTTGCTAGGTGATACTGAATTTTCTAGTAAGGAGGGACAGAACTAAAATACCAATAGAAGACATGGTATTTTGAAAACATGTGAAGTCAGGTATCAATCTGCCTTTTCAAAATAGACTCAATTCTCTATCCATAACCCCACCCATCTCTTTACCCAAAGAAGTCAGAAAACAATCTTTTGCAAAACTGGATAGGAAATCCTTTTCCCGGGTCTCTCTAAAAAGAATACAAACCCCAGCTAACAAGACACCACTGGGAGACACTCCCTGCCTATACTCTCTTGAGGTCGCTCTCTCTTTTTATGGAGCAACTACTCCGCGTTAGGTGCAGAACATACTCTCTGTCCTCACTCACACCAAGTCTAAAGTCTAGTGAAGACAAACCAGGAAGTTAGGATCTGAAAGACATGAAAGGGACAGTTGGCTATCTGGGAGAGCAGGCATTCTAGGTAGTGGGAATGACTACCACCAAGTCCCTAGAGCCAGAGTGGCTGGAGAGGTGGACAAGGGGAGAGCAATTCAAAAGAGCTGGACAGGTAGCCAGGGCCATCAAGGGCCTTGTAATCCAAGGCAAGGAGTATGGATTTTATTGCATATGGATGAAAAGCCAGCCATTGGACGGTTTTGAGCGGGGATTTGAGATCATCACCCACGCTGCTGTGAGGAAGATGTATGGGGAGTCGAGAATGGACTTAGAGAATACACACAATGGAATATTACTCAGCCTTTAAAAAGCAGGAAATTTTGCAATACTTGACAACATGGGACATTATGCTAAGTGAAATAAGCCAATCACAGAAGGACAAACACTGAATAATTCCACTTATATGAGACATCTAAAACAATTGAACTCACAGAAGCAGGGAGTAGAAGGGTGGTGGCCAGGGATGAGGAAAGAGATATGGGGAGTTGTTAACCAATGGGCATAAAATTTCAGGTATACAAGATGAATAAATTCTAGAGATCTGCTGTACAATATTGTGCCTATCGTTAACAATATTGTATTGTACACTTAAAAACCTGTGAAGGGATGTCTGGGTGGCTCAGTCAGTTGAGCGTCCAACTCTTGGTTTTGTTTCTGCTCAGGTCATGATCTCAGGGTCGTGAGATTGAGCCCCACATCAGGCTCTATGCTCAGCACAGAGTTTGCTTGAGATTCTCTGCCTCTCCCCCTCCGCCTCCCCCTGCTCATGCACACACTCTCTTTCTCTCTCTCAAATAAATAAATAAACAAACAAACAAACAAATAAATAAATAAATAAAATCTTTAAAAATCTACGAAGGGGGTAGATCTCATGTTAAGTGTTCTTGCCACAATAAAGGAGAAGAAAAAGATGGACCCAGAGAGACAGGTTAGGATTCTATTGCAGTAGTGCAGGCAAGAGATGGTGGTGGTGTCTTAGACTACAGTAGTGGACTTCTTTCCTATTGCTGCTATAACAAACCACCACCAACTTATTTCCTTAAAACAACACAAAAATATTATCTTACACTTCTGGAGGTCAGAATTCCAAAATCAAATTCACTGGGCTAAACTCAAGATGTTGACATGCCTGGGGACACCTGAGTGGCTCAGTTGTTAAGCATCTGCCTTTGGCTCAGGTCATGATCCCAGGGTCCTGGGATCAAGTCCCACATTGGGTTCCTTGCTCAGTGGGGAGCCTGCTTCTCCCTCTCCCTCTACTGCTCCCCCTGCTTGTGCTCTCTCTCTCTGACAAACAAACAAATAAATAAATAAAAATCTTTAAAAAAAAAAAAAAAAGATGTTGACATGCCTGTGTTCCTTCGGAGGCTTTAGGAGAGCATCAGTTTCCCTGGCTTTTGTAGCTTCCAGAGGCCACCGGCATTTCTTGGCTCATGGCCCCTTCCTCCATATTCAAAGCCAAGGTAGTATCTTCTCACCGTCTGGTCTCTGCATCCATCCTTACATCTTCTCTCTGTCTCTGACTCTGATCCTCCTGCTTCTCTCTCATAAGGACCCTTGTGATTCAATTGAGTTTATCCACATAATCCAGGATAATCTCCCCAACTCAAGATTCTTAACTGCAACCACATCTGCCTTTTATCTTATAAGCTAACACATTCACAAGGGGATTGGCACATGGACATATCTGGAGGGCCATTATTTAGCCTACTACCATGGGAACAGCAGAGCTGGAGAGGAGTGTAGGCCTCCAGATGGGCCATCGGAGAGAAGCTACATGCTTCCTGTAATTTGGATGCCTTGAGGAGGAGGAGCGAAAGAGAAGAATCAAGAGTGACTCTTCTTTTTTGTCTTCACCATCTGGGTGGATGGTGGTGTGTTTTCCTGAGATAAAGAATACCGGAAAAGGA